AAGTCAGCCAGCTTGATGGAGCCCTCGGCGTTGATGAGCAGGTTCTGCGGCTTCAGGTCCCGGTGCAGAACGCGGTGGGCGTGGCAGAAAGCCAGGCCCTGCAGCAGCTGGAACAGGTAACTCTGGGGACAGCAGGGACAGCGTTGGGGACATTGTTGGGGACATTGGGGACATTGTTGGGGACATTGGGGACATCAGGGTCAGACCCCTGAGTGGCTTTGGGGACCCCCAAAATCGATTTGGGGTTTTGGGGTTGAATGGCAGAACACCAACCCCTGCAGCAGCTGGGACAGGTGACTCTGGGGACATCATTGGGGACACTGGGGACATCAGGGTCAGAGCCCTGAGTGACCCCTGAGTGGCTTTGGGGATCCCCAAAATCGATTTGGGGTTTTGGGGTCGTGTGGCAGAAGGCCAGGCCCTTCAGCAGCTGGGACAGGTGACTCTGGGGACAGCGGGGACAGCATTGGGGACATTTGGGACAGTCCCTGAGTGACCCAGGGGACCCCCAGAATGGGTTTGGGGTTCTGGGGTCACATAGCAGAACACCAGGCCCTACAACACATGGGACAGGAAACTCTGGGGACAGCATTGGGGACATTGGGGACATTGGGGACACTGGGGACACTGAGATCAGTCCCCTGAGTGAGCTCTGAGTGGCTTTGGGGATCCCCAAAATCGATTTGGGGTTTTGGGGTTGTGTGGCAGAAGGCCGGGCCCTGTAGAATATGGGACAGGTAACTCTGGGGACATCATTGGGGACACTGGGGACACTGAGATCAGTCCCCTGAGTGAGCTCTGAGTGGCTTTGGGGACCCCCAAAATCGATTTGGGGTTTTGGGGTCACGTGGCAGAAGGCCGGGCCCTGTAGAATGTGGGACAGGTAACTCTGGGGACAGCATTGGGGACATTGGGGACATCACTGGGGACATCAGGGTCAGAGCACTGAGTGACCCAGGGGACCCCCAGGATGGGTTTGGGGTTTTGGGGTCCTCCAATATCCCCCCCAGGTGTTTTAGGGTCCCCCCAGGTGTTTTAGGGTCCCCAGTCAATGTTCCTCCCCAGGTTTCAGGATCCCCCCTGGGTTTTAGGGTCCCCCCAAATGTCCTGTCCCCCATGTGTTTTAGGGTCCCTCTCCCAGGTTTTGGGGTCCCCCCCGGGTTTGGGGTCCCCACCTTGATGAGCGGCAGCGCGATCCCGCTGAGGGACGAGGAGTCCATGAACTTCTTCAGGTCCTGGTGCAGGAACTCGAACACCAGGTACAGCTTGTTCTCCGTGTGGATGACATCCAGGAGCCTGTGGGGACA